CCCAGTGCAGACACTTGAAGGTACTTTGTTGCCGTGAGATACTTGTAATCTCGTTTTTCTTTGCATGACATGAAATCCACTCTGCAGGCCACCCTACCCCCACCCCCTGCCCCAGGGCCCCTGGGTCATTTGTCATCCTCACCCCCAGGGGGACATTGGCAAAGAGCATAGTGAGATCTTTCAGCAGCCTCTTGTCATTTTTTTTTTCCTATTTCCAAGCCTGAGTGTTAATACTTGCAGGCTTGACTGGGTTTAAATTGGCTTTACTGTGGATAGCTTGCAGTTTCCAATAACACAGAGAGACAAGTGGTAAAAAATGTGCACAGAAGAGCATAATTTGGGAGATGAAGCTGAATAAGACTGAGTCAGCAAATGCTGGACCCGCAGACCCTCTGCACCTGCTGGGCGCCTCAGCCCTATGCTTAATTTCAGAGGCACCTGGGAAGTTTAAACAATTTACTCCTTCCCCAATGCTTCTGAAATTTTCCTAGCCCATTCTCCTCATTTGATGGTTAATATGAATCCCAAACTCTACTGGACCTTCAATAAAAACCGGGCCTCATGTGGGGCTATACTCCCCACATCCTGATAAGGCAATGAATGTTTCCACAGGCTTCCCTGAGATGCTAAGTAACTAAATTCTCTTAGACTGGATAGAAGAAAAGAGATGCCGAATGCTCTGAATTCAGCTTCTAGAATTCTAGTTAACCCAATGATGGAGTGGGCACCCAGGCAAAGGCTGTGTCTCAAGGCAACCGGGCCAAGCCTAGTGGAGAGAAGCCTGTCATGAGCTGGCTGTACCACCTACCTGCCCTCCTGGGCCAGCCCCCATCTCTCCAGTTCTGAGCCCTCCTATGGGAATACCTAGCCCTCTCTCCAAACTCCTGTGCTGAGTTCTTGGGAGGCTCGTGTCAGAATGTACTTGAAAGGGTTCTACAAAGTCAGGTTGTGTAAATGTGAAGTCTTATTCCATGGATAAGGCACAGGCAACAGGAAGGGCCTTGGGGTCTGACCCACACAGAATTCTAAGGAGAAAATGCAACCCAAACCTGAACTTGATGGCAGAGCTGGCGAGTCCCGACTGCAATTTTGTGACTTGCTCTTGACCTGGTATACAACTTAACCTCACCATTTTTACATCTTCACGTGATAGCAGGAATAACCTTTGCTCCTTGTGATGAGGGAAACAAAGGCAGAAGAAAAATTATTAAATTTGCTTACTACTCTAGCCCATTGACAAGTCCTTGAAATAGGCTGAGTGACATTCCTCTAGGAACTCAGCTGCCTCAAAGTTAATACTTTGCTAAGGGCAAAAGGCAAAATCTTATCCTGGCCCTCCAGGACCCTGTAAGTCTACTTTAACATCTAAAAATTCCTTTGGAAACTTCTTTATCTCTACCCCCCAAGATACACGTTGGCGATCATCCCCCAACCATATGACCCACTGATACACATCTGAAGAGTCTCACGACTTGAGTTTTAGGACCTTTTCCTAACAATAGCTGGCCCCCGGGGGTGGGGGGTGGGTATTGTCAAAATACCTGGGAGGCATATGCTATCCCTAACCCCCTCCCAACTTGAGAGTACGTAATCGGCCACTCCTCATGACCCCAATGTAGCTCTTTCTGCCCACGGATCCTGTCCCCTGTGCTTTAATAAAACCACCTTTTTGCACCAAAGACATCTCAAGAATTCTTTCATAGCCATAGGCTTCAAACCCTCAGATCTTTCGTACATCACTTGCAGTTGGGGTAAGGCATGCGCGTTTTAGCGAGGTTGAAGCATGATGCCAACTAAGCAGGAATGTCCCTTATATCTAACCCAGTCAAAACCTAAGTCCTGCTACCCTACTCTGTGGGTGTGTGGTGCTTGCACTGTAACTGGGAGGAATGCCTTACTATCCCTTCATTACCAGTATCGACATGAGTCAGAGTGGATGTCCAAATTTTCCCCCAGGTTTACTCTTGGTTGGGATCAGGAAGTCATGAATGTTTACAGGTCTGGGTTTAAACCAGCCAAAAAAAAAAAAAAAAAGAAAAGAAAACAAACCTGAGGATAAGAACAAAGGCTGGAGAGGCCCACTATCTCAAAAACAAGTCCCATCTGTATTCATAGATAAATACCTAATGGCCCAGCATGAACTCCATCAACAAATGCCGTATTCATTCACTTCCCACTGTGCTCCAGGGAATAGATCTTCTCTTGGTATCCTGAATTGTTTCCCCTAAACATTCTAACTTCAAAAACAGAGGAGTATTTGTGTAGAACAATCTGCAGTCGTGAAAGTATCTCAGGTATCTAAGTTCATCTCTTTTGCTCCTGGCTGTCTGACTGTCCCAGCGCCACCTGTGAAAAAGACTATCCTTCCCCCACTCGAATTGTCTTGGTACCTTTGTCAATTGACCATAAATATAAGGATTTTTGGATTCTCAATTATCTTATATGGAGCCATCCTTATGCCAAACACTGCTGTCTTGATAACACTTTCTTCAAGAGTAAGTCTGCAATAAAAAAGCAAAAGTGCCTCCTATTTGTTCTGTTTTTCAAAATTGTTTTGCCAATTCCAGGTTCTCTGTATTTCCCTACAAATCTTAAAGTCAACGTGTTGGTTTCTGTAAAAAATGTCCAGCTGGGATTTTGAGAGTGATCACATTGAATTTATAGATCAATGTGGCAAGAGCTGACTTCTTGAATGAGACTGAATCTTCCAACCCACGAACATGGAGATTTTCTGTTTATTTATATCTTTAATTTCACTCAGCAATGCTTAGTAGTTTTCAGCAAATAAGAATTGTATTTTTTTGGTTAAATGTATTACAATTTTATTCGTTTTGATGCTATTGGGAATGAAATTGTATTAGTTTCATCAGCAGATTGTCCAGTATTAGTATATAAAATACACTTGGTTTCTGTATAGTGATTTTGTATCTCGACCTTACTAAATACATTAGTTCTGGGGTGCCTCGGTGGCTCGGTCGTTGGGCAACTGCCTTTGGCTCAGGTCATGTTCCCAGGGTCCTGGGATCGAGCCCTGCGTCGGGCTCCCTGCTCAGTGGGAGGCCTCTCCCCCTCCCCCCTGCTTGTATTCCCTTTCTCACTGTATCTCTCTGTCAAATAAATAAAATCTTTAAAAATAAATACATAAAATAAATACATTAGTTCTAGTAGGTTTATTTGTGTGTGTATTCTTGGGATTATTTACATATAAGATTATGTTATCTGTGATTGACAGTTTTCTTTGAAACTAGATGTCTTTTTTTTTTTGTCTTATCGCAGAAATGGCAAAAATGTACATTTTGCCTTGATCCTGATGTTAGGAAAAGAGCATTCACTCTTTCAGCAGTAACCATGATGTTAGCTGTGGATTGTTCCATTGATGCCTCTTACTTGGTTGAAGAACCTCTCTATTCCTGCTTTAATGAAAGGTGCTTAGTTTTTGTTTAAGCATGGTGTTGGATTTTCTCAAGTGCTTTTTCTGCAATGTGAACGACCATGGAGTTTTTGTCCTTTATTTTATTTATATGGTGTACTACTGTGGTATAATAAAAAATACACAAGTTGGGGGCACCTGGCTGGCTCATTCAGTGGAACATGTGACTCTTGACCTTGGGGTTGTGAGTTCAAGCCCCACATTAGGTGCAGAGATTACTTAAAAAAATAAAATCTTAAAAATATATATATACAGGGGGTCAGTTGGTTAAGCATCTGCCTTCAGCTCAGGTCATGATCCCAGGGTCCTGGGATCAAACCCCATGTTGGGCTACCTGCTCAGTGGAGAGTGTGCTTCTCCCTCTCCCTCTGCCCCTGCTCCTGCTCTCTCTGGCTCACTCTCTCTCAAATAAATAAATAAAATCTTACCAAAGAAATACATATGTGTGTGTGTGTCTCTCTCTATATATAGTCTTTGTCTCTGGTTCCTGGCACAGAGCTCCTAAAACCCTTGGAATTTCCTGAATGCTAAGAGTGTCTATCCTTACCATATGGGGCCTCTTCAGAGCATACCTGAGTTTATGCTAATGAGGTGACTCTGGGTGGGCCCTTACATAGCTTCAAGATGGCGGCTGGTTGCCAGAAGAACCAACCAGGTGATTAGACAATTGGAACTTCAGTCCTACCTCCTCCACCTCCAACAGGGGGAGAGGAGCTGGAGGTTGCATTAATCATAACACCAGTGACTTAATCAGTCATGCCTACACAATAAAATCTTGATAAAAACTCTTGAACAAAGTTCAGGGAGCTTCCAGGTTGGTGAACACATCGATATGCTGCGAGGGTAGCATGCCTAGGTAGGACATGGAAGCTCCAGGTCTTCTGCCCCACCTCACCCTTGTGCATCTCTTCTATTCGGCTGTTCCTGAGTTGGGTCCTTTATAATACAACTGCAATATTAAGTATAGCATTTTCCTGATTCTGTGAGCTGCTCTAGTGAATTATCAAATCTGAGGGAAGGGTTGTAGGAACCCCTGAATTTGTGCTCAGCAAGGCAGAATTGTGGCAACCTTGGGGTTCTGGGATCCCCAGATCTTGTGGCTGGGATCTGAAGTGGGGGCTGAATGGGACTGAGCCTTCAACTTATGGGGTCTGGGCTAACTCTGGGTACTTAGAATCAGAACTGAATCAACTTGTATGACATCCAGTTGACGTTGGAAAATTATTAGTGTTGGAAAATGACACAATTACATTGATTTTTGGATGTTAAACTAATCTTGCATTCCTGAGATAAATCCCACTGGGTCATGGTATATAATCTTTCTTATATGTTTGTTTTATCTGGATTCAGTTTGTTAATATGTTGGCCTCTATGTTCATGAGGAATATTTGACTGTAGTTTTTCTTGCAATGTCTTTGGCTTTGGTATCAGGGACATACTGGCCTCATGGAATGAGTTGGATTCCCCTCCTCCTCTATGGTCTGAAATAATTTGATAATTTAAACATTTGATACAATTCACAAATGAAGCCATCTTTGGCCCAGAGATTTCTTTGTGGGAAGAGTCTTAATTATTAATTTAATTTCTTTATTTGTTATAGGTCTTTTCAGATTTCCTAATTCTTCTTGAATCAGTTACAGTGTCTTTCTAGGAGTTTGTCCATTTCACTTGAGTGGTCAAATTCTCCTTCTCCTTCCGTAGTTAACTTTCATCAATATGCCATGTAGTTCACGTTGGAAGTTGCAACATTTCCTCATTGACTCTTGCTCACCACATTTACACCTACAATTATCACTGCAGAGCTTGACCATGCCCATGTCGAGTAGGAAGATAAGTCCTATTCCCTTCAAGGTCCTTCTAGCTAGACTGAGAATCAAATTGACATAAGACAGATTAACAAGAGAAAACCAAATCTAGTTTGGTACGTATGAGGAATCCGCACCGACATGAGATTCCAAAGACAGCCAGGCAACATGAGGCTTAGATGGGCTAAAGAGAAGGATAGGGTCTGGGGAAACAAAGGGGGGGAATACCACTAGAAATGTTTGGAAAACCAAGATTGCCCTGTTATACATATACGTTTCTTAGGTAAAAAGGAATCTCTGTTAATGGCCCTCTTTCTGGGGCGCCTGGGTGGCTCAGATGGTTAAGCGTCTGCCTTCGGCTCAGGTCGTGATCCCAGGGTCCTGGGATCGAGTCCCGCATCGGGCTCCCTGCTCCTTGGGAGCCTGCTTCTCCCTCTGCTTCTCTCTCTCTCTCCCTCTCTCTCTGTCTCTCATGAATGAATAAATAAAGTCTTTAAAAAAAATGGCCCTCTTTCTGATACAGTCTCCTTTCTGATGTGAATTTAGGCAGTTGAACAGAGGTAAGGAGCTTCTCCTGAATCTGCTGGGTTTTGATTGCTTTTAAAATAATGATTGAGGGGCGCCTGGGTGGCTCAGTCAGTTAAGGCTCTGCCGTTGGCTCAGGTCATGATCCCAGGGTCCTGGGATGGAGTCCCACATCAGGCTCCCTGCTCAGGGGGGCGCCTGTTTCTCCCTCTCCCTCTGCCTGCCACTCCCCCTGCTTGTGGTCTCTCTCTCACTCTCTGTCAAATAAATAAATAGAATCTTTTAAAAAATAAAATAAAATTGCATTTCAAAATAATCTTCATGCCAAAGTGGCCCATCTTGGGGAGACCTGCCCTTGGCCCCTACATCCATCACCCTATCATACACTTGAGTTGGGTATGGTATTAAGAGAGGTACAAATACAGGAAATTCAAGGTATGCATACCTCCTGCACTGGAACATAGAACACACCTCAGGTTACTTCACTGCGGCTGATCAGCTCTGTAGCAATAAGAAAAGTTTATAGGCAGCTATACACTGCATTCATTGTTCTGGCGCCAAGAAACAAATAATGATGTACCACTAATGGGCTTTTCCAAACAGGTTATTATAACTTTCTTTCTTAAAAAAAAAAAAATTGGGGCGCCTGGCTGGTTCAGTCAGTAGAATATAGGAATCTTGCTCTCAGGGTCAGGAGTTCAAGCCCCAAACTGGGAGTAGAGCTTACTTTAAAAAAAATTAATAGTGTGAAAATTAATAAAGGAAAACCTCATTAATATGGATTTGGGTTGTCCATTGTATTTCCAACAGAGAGACCAAAGGTGCAAGGCCTCAGGAAGGTTAGCTATTACTTTACTATGCCAGCAGGAGGAAGGAAGGTTTCCTCCTCACCAAGCAACAACCCAGCCAATGAGAGACAGTCATAGCCCAGCCAATGAGAGAGAGTCACAGCCAGCCAATGACAGACTGTCACAGCTCAGCCAATGAGAAGCCCCCATCCGTCCAACTCCCAGTTTACTCCAGTGGACTTTCTGTTTACAACAGCCTTCCCAGCAGCGCCTTTGCGCCATAAAAGAGCCTGCTCTCCTTTGTTCTGTGGACCTGCCTGTGGCTCTGCCGTATTTTGTGTGTGGTGTAAAGCAACTTTTTGCTCTTCCCAAATACACCCATCTTTTGCTTGTAAAATGACTGGTTTTATTTATTTTTAAGGTTAACAGTAGCAGCAACAACCCATTGTGAGCTGGCCACTACCCACAGATGAATAGCCCAGCCATCCAGAGACCACAGTGCAAAGGAGGAGGCTGCTTAAATAGAAAGGATTACATAGGTGACCATTATCAAGGCAATTCTTCCCTCTCTGTGCCAGAATGAGTGGTCTCTTACTGGACACTCAAAGCATGCTTTTGGACTTTTTACCTCCTTTAAGGACACAGCTCCTGTCTTTTGGCTCCAAGAAAATCCTTTTAGAAACTTGGCAGGAGAAGCCCTGCCTAGCAAGATGGCGCTGCCCGTGTTGTTGCACCCGTTCTCCAAGCTGTTGGCTCCTGCCAAGGCTCCCCAGCAGCTCTTCAGCGCAAAGTTCTACCTTCGGGAGCACCACATAACAGACCTCACTGGCTGAAAGTTGGACTGACCTTGGGCACCTCTGTCTTCTTGTGGATCTCTCTCATCAAGCAACATAATGAAGATGTTTTAGAGTATAAAAGAAGCAATGGGTTGGAATAAACTATTGAAATACTGATATGGTATGCTCCATATAGTGATTATACTAGTTCCTTTGGATTCACCAATCTGTTGAGTCGTAAACGTGAGAGAAAAAGTTATATGTGAATGTATGTCAAATCAGCATTTGTGTTTTGTGTCATTAAATGAAAAAATAAAAATATTTCTGTATTCCTCAGATTAAAAAAAACTTGGCAAGAAAGAAAACAACAAAACTTAAGGCTGCAGGAGTGACTAGAACAGAAAGAAGCCAGTCAAGAGAAATCATGGGCCATGGGGTGTGAAATGATGCATCTGCTCAGATAATAAGGAAAGGGACTGGGGTCCTGCACCCCAACAGATTTAGGTGACTTAGCTTTGGGTGGAGTCAGGGTGGGGATCAGTTTGCACCAAGATTTAGGACACAGAGGTGTGTTTCTGTGCTATATTGGGAATTAAGAAGACTTTTCTGTAACCCTGTGCTAAGTTTTAAATATTCTCTGAGGTTCCTTCCACGTCTACACCTTATGATTCCAGGGCTCCCCTCTGAATCTTCTACGTTTCCGTATTTTCAAAAGCATAATAGAACAATAACTATTCAGTCGCTAACTACTTACCAAGAGTCACCTTATAGCTCAGATCTATAATAGTTGTAATTAAGAAATATATTTGGCCTTTGTCCTCAGTTGTAGCACAGAGCTCCTAAAATCCCTGGGATTTCCTGGCTGATAGGAGTGTCTTTTGTTATTCATATGAGCCCTTTTGAGCACCCCTGAGTTTATGGTAATGAGGATAATTAGGATGGGGGCCCCTAGAGAGCCTCAGAGTGGGGCTGCTATCTGAAAGACCAAGTACTTACAACAGTGTCTGGTATCGTTAAGCACTCGGTATTTAATAGTGAAGTCTATAAACATAGAAAATTAGTCTTGGAAGGTCCAGTTTTGGAGGGCATGATGGTACAGTGAATGTGCTGGGGCTCATCTAGTGTATCAGTATTTAATATGAAAGATGCAAATAATCATGCCCTGCTTTGGGCTATTTGCCTTTCACTATTTACACTTTCACTTGCAATGATTATCCTGATCCAGAAAGGAAGTAAATGATAAAGCTGATCTCTCAGGAAAGGAAACAGACTGTATACCAAACACAGTGCACCTTATTTATTCTGCAAAGCAAGGAGACAGGCCAAAATGGTGCCTAAGTCAGAGGGTTTGCTGGTGCCAAGGTGATGACTGTAACATTGAGGCTTGAGCAATGGAAAGTTGAACAAGGCAAAAGGGCCCACGGCAACCACCAGGCTGAACGCAAACAGGCTCATTAAGCCACAGGCCCTAACTGACCAATGGGTTACTTACAACCAGGCACAGTTCCTAAGGTTACCAAAAAAGGGAAAATTCCATCCGTCCCCATACTCCCTCACTCCACCCTGTAACTATAGCCCCTCATCACCACTTCGTGGCAGACTCTCTCTTTTGAGGTCCTGTCCGCTGCGCCCTTGCCGTGTATTCAATAAACTACTATCTCTTTTGTTCTGCCTTGGGGGGATTCTTTCGACTGCACCACGGGATGCCCCATGATGGCCTTCAGTCTAAAGCAAGTTCTGGATGCAAAGCAAATCATTTTCGCAAAATAGCGCGCACACAGTGTGGATTTGGGTCCAGCCACCTTCAGGAGGAAAGGGAGCCCAGATGCTCCTGCCTGGCTCCCTCTGACAGCCACATCAATTCGACAGACTACTTACCCAACATGCCAGCTGACAACATTTGCTGTACTCCTCTCTTATTTGAATGGTTGTAACAACATAAAAGAAGCAGAGAAAAAACATCTGCTTTTTTCTCAATATGCTCTCACAGTGTCTACAAGATGAGTCATTAAAAGACTTTGCTTTCAGTTCATGTGACAATTATCCCCGAAGATCCCTTTTAAAATGTAAAATAGAGGGGGGAAAAAAAAAAGTCAAACAAGCTTAGAATATAAACAAAGAAGATTGAAGAATTGGGAATATCTGACAACATTTTAAGGAAGAAAAGAAAATAAGAGGACCTACGAATTGAAATGCAGCCGAAAAGAAATACCCAAATGAGTCTCTTTTGGATTTGATGTCTCTAAAATGGCAATCAGTTTTTTCTTTAAATTATCTGTCTCAGTTCTCACAGAATTAGGGCAGAACTACTCCTGATAAAAACATCAAACCTTCCAGATTTAACAGCAGCTCAGAAAACCAAGTCACAACCAAACGTACCCAGTGCTCACAGACTGTTAAGACTATTTGTATACAAAGTTGAAAATAATGTCAAGTTGGAAAGCCACTGTAAAACATCATAGTTTCTTGGCCCACCAAACTAACAAAAAATATACTTCCTAGTATAAAAAAATTTTTTTAAGATTTTATTTATTTATTTGAGAGAGCGAGAGAGAGAGAGAGAGAGAGAGAGCACAAGCAGGGGGAGTGGCTGGCAGAGGGAGAGGGAGAAGCAGGCTTCCCACCGAGCAGGGAGCCCGATGTGGGACTCAGTCCCAGGAGCCCAGAATCATGACCTGAGCCAATGGCAGACGCTCAACTGACTGAGCCACCCACGTGTCCCATAAAATTTAATACATTATGGATCAATAAAAAGAAATCACACTCAAGAGAATAATAAAATAAGCCATAGACAATTGGGAGAAAATATTTGCAAAAGATTAAATGACTGTATTCAACATACGCAAAAAAACAAAGAACCTAACAGACACTTCACCAAAGAAGATAACAGACGGCAAATACAAAGATGAAAAGTGCTCCACACAGTGTCTTCGGGGGCGGAGGGGGGAATGCAAATTAAAGCAACAATGAGATACTGGTACACACCTATCAGAATGGCCAAAACCCACAACACTGATGCCACCAAATCTACTGAGGTTGTGGAGCAACAGGAACTTCCCTGCATTGCTGGTAGAGAATGCAAAATGGTGCAGCCCCGTTGGAAGGCGGTTTGTCAGCTTCTTACCAAACTAACATACTCTTATCATACGATCTAGCCATTGTGCCTGTTGGTATTTACCAAAGGAGTTGAAAACTTAACGTCTACACAAAAAGCTGCACAGAAATGTTTATGGAAGCCTTATTCATAATGTCAAAACCTAAGGTGTATACACCATGCTAAAAGATAAACTGAGGCATATTAAACATGTTAAGAGATTAACAAAAATGGGTTTGAACCCAACAGCATCCAATCTAGCAGATAGAAAGGAGCTCCGAGGAGCTGTACAAAATGAAAGACTTTTATAGGCAGCAGGAAGCAGAAACAAGGGAGCTATACCAGGCAAAAAAAAAGTAGGTTGGTTATTGCAAGGTTATTTTCCTTTAGGGGATGGCATGGGTCCATCAGGCGATTCCTGATCAACTGGTTTAAGATTCCATTTCTGGGAGAGCTGATATGGTAATGGTGAAGGTGACTTGGGACTTAGCATAAAGGAATTTATTTGAAGCCTGGTCTTGTCTTGTTTTTAACAACCCAGACAAGGGAATATTATTCAGTGCTAAGAAGAAATGAGCTATCAAGCCATGAAAAGGCATGGAGGAATCTTAAATGCATAGCACTAAGTGGAAGAAGCCAATAATGAAAAGGCTACAGATTGTGTGTTTCCAACTAACTACATGACATCCTGGAAAAGGCATAACTATGGAGACGGTAAAAAGATCAGAGGTTGCCAGGAGGAAGGACAAATAGGAGGGGCACAGAGGGTCTTTAGGGCAGTGAAACTACTCCATACGACACTATAATGTTGGATACATGCTACGTTTGTCCAAACCCACAGAATGTACACGAGGATGAACCCTAATGTAAACAACGGACTCTGGATGATGGTGATGTATCAGTGGAGGTTCATCAGTAGTAGCCAATGTGCCACTCCAGTGGGAATGTCAATGGTGGGGGACACTATGCATGAATGGGGGCGGGGTG